GGCCCCCGTGTGTCCAACCTGCCCTTCAACCCGGCCAGGGATGGGGCAGCCACAGCTTCTCTGGGCACCCTGTGCCAGTGCCTCAGCACCCTCCCAGGGAAGAGCTTCTGCCTGAGATCCCATCCAAACCTACAGAGAGTAGCTGCTTTCCTGGGATATCTGGACAAGAGCTTAAACATCTCTTGGGCATCACTTTGCAGCAGCGGCGATGCTTTGCCCAGACCTGGCCCGAGGCTGCAGAGCATCACCTCAGAGCAGCCCTGTGGAGTCAGTTGTGTGGCTGGGCGCATTTATTGACAGACCCCTCCCTTTTAATTCAAGTTACTGTAACTAAAAACAGCCCCAAATGTTCTTTGTGCTCTTCTAAGGTGGAACCAGACAGTTTCTTGCAGAACTTTGCTTTGTTTCTTATCACTAGCAGATAACATATCAGGGTTGTGGTTTAATGAAGGAACTATAAGTAAATCCTGCCCTGTTTCCCTGCTTGAAGCTCTCAGGGATCGGGGAGCTGATGTTTGAGTCACAGCCAGCTCCAGCCACAGGTTCATCTATAATTTACTGTTATCTCTACAGCAAAGTGCATTTAATTCATCATGACTTTATTATTTGTTTAATGGTGGCAGCTTAATGGTGTGGTGGAAACCGCATCTGCTTCCTCCAAAGCACCACACGGTCATCTACAGGAGACCCAGTGGGTTTGCAGCCTCATGACCCTGCAGTGGATGAAGACAGAAGGCACAAAGTGTTATTTATTCTCATTTTGGGCAGCAGAGATGAGTTATGTGTTTGTCTGCAGCCCAGGCTGGGATATGCCCCTAAGGAGCAGCTCTGCGAAAGGGCCCTGGGGGTTCTGGGGGACAACAGCTCCATAGGAGTGAGCAGCTGAGCAGAGAAACCCAACAGGATGCTGGAGACCATCAACAGGGGCACCACCACAGGGATAAAGGTGTCATTGTCCCACTGTGCTCGGCGCTGGTCAGGCCACCCCTGGAATATGGGCTCAGTTTGGGTCCTGCTGCACCGCAAAGCTGTGGATGGGCTGGAGAGGGGCCAGAGAAGGGCCACAAAGATGGTCCAAGGGCTGGGCAGCGTGTGAGGGAAGGCTGAGAGAGCTGGGACACAAGAGGGAATGTTTCCCAATGAGAACAACCACCACTGGAATAATCTCCCCAGGTAAGTGGTGACTCCCCAGCGTTGGACACTGTTAAGACTGGGCTGCACAGGGTGCTGGGCACCCAGCCTAGGTCATGCTGTGCCTGGAAAGGTTGGAGCAGATGGTCCCTGAGGTCCCTTCCCCTGGGATTCCAGGATTCCATGATTTCCCTAAAAAATATCAAACCGCACTTAGAATGGGATTAAGGTCTTGCCAAGTGTCCTTCTCTAAACCCTTAGTAGCACATTGCAGTTAAAGCCTTTGGCACATTCACCCCATACATGTGTCACTGTTCCTGATCCGCCTCATTTTCACTCCCAAAATACAAGGGTTAGAGATGGGAACGCTGATCCTGGAGAGACAAAGGGCTGGACACATCTCCCAGAGCCCTCCATTGGCAGCTTGGCAGGTTCCAGCTCCATCCCCAGCACGTATCTGGTTGGCAGGTCACACACCTGGAGTGGTTTCTCCCATTGCTTTGCCAGGGGGAGGGGTTTTGGGGTCACTTTATGCCAATATTGGTTCCTCTCCATAGAGGCACCACATCTCTTGCTGCTGTGGAATAAGCCAAAGCTGCCTCCTCTGTGTGAGAACACTGGTGCTGATGCTTTGCTGGCCCTGGTGGTGCATGGACCTTTGCTGCAGAGACAACTGTGGGTGCTTTCATTTTGCTTCTCAGTTATGGGAATCCCAGAATTTCCTTCCATCAGCTCCTCCTGTGTCTCATCCAGGAATACTTAGAGGTTTCTTCTTCCATTATACTCAAGTTCCGTGGGTCATTCATGTCTCCAGAAGGCCCTTTTGTGTCTGTTCTTGAGTTTTGGAGCTAGCAAATGTGACTTCAGCCTTGATGGGACGAAGGGACCTTAGTTCTATTCCTGTTCTTCACCTTGTCACCTCTAGGTGTTGCTTGTGATGTGGACATTTCCAGACAGCTCTTCCCTGTTGCTGGGGTTGGGATGAGGAAGACCAGTGGTGGAGAGGATCCTTTCCCTCTGCTCAGCACTGGTCAGGCCATGTCTGGAATACAGTGTCCAGTTCTGGGCTTCCCAGTACAGGAGAGACATGGGCAGACTGGACTGAGACCAGCGAAGGGCCACCAAGGTGATGAAGGGACTGGAGCAGCTCTGCTCTGGAGCCAGGCTGAGAGAGCTGGGCTGGGTCAGCCTGGAGAAGAAAAGGCTCCTGAAGGGGAGACCTTATCCCCATGTCCCAGTATTTAAAGGGGGGGATATCATCCATGCATGAAAGAGGGCAGCAAGAGGACAGAGCCAGGCTCTTCCCAGTGCCAGAACCAGAAGTGATGGGCACAAACTGGAACACAGGAATTTCCATCAGGAAGCCCTAACCAGTTTGATACTGGTGTTTACTGACATAAACCCTCCCATTCCTCCCAGTGTGTGAATGGCATTCCTGGCTTCACTTCCAGTGTGTCAGGATGTTCTGAATGCCACCTTCACCTGTGGTACTTTTAGTCCTTCTGCCTTGTTCTGCCTGCCAAATTGATGAGCCATCTCCCAGTCCCATCAACAGGATGCTGTAGCTACACCAGACATGACATATAGGGGCGATAATAAAGATCGCAGTCTAGAATGTGCACATGGAATACAGTGATGAAAGGTCAGGTCTTCTCAGCAAGATCAGATCTAGCACCCCAAATTACATGACAAGACACAAAGAAATTGCTGCTCCCTTAAAAGCTCAGTAAAGACAATCGTGAATCACTGCAGGAATGAGAGGTTCCTTCAAACCACCATTTGCTGCATTTTGACAATGGATAACCAAGAACTTTGTTTTTCCAATAAGCTTTGCTTTCCCTCTCCTCTTCCTTGCTTCTGAATGTGTGAAAAGCGTTCCAAGCACAATTTCAGCCCAGGCACGTTTAATTCCCTCTTTATTCCCTGCCAGCACAACACACTTCCCACCCAGAGGGAAGAGTGTCTTTGTCACAGTCTGATTCCAAGAAATCCATGTTCGCTGCTGCTTCTTTCCCTGGTACCCCACCCGTGCTTCACCAATGCTCTGCCTGTTTCAGCATTGCTCAGGAAATCAATGGTTTCTAATTCCCTTCCACTTCCCTTTCTGGAGTCAGCCCCGGGGGTTCCTTCTCCCAGCCAGGTTTTCATTCTCATTTCAGATGTGCTCTTTCCCAACACCTTTGTGCTGCTCCTGCCCCTCTCCAAGCGCTCCGAGGAGAACTCCCTGTTCCCTGCCCTGGGCTGCCCCGCAATGCACAGCTCATTGTAACTCCCTGCTCCCGGATTCCTCACTCCGCTGCTGATGGGAGACTGGTTCAGGGGGGAATAACTCCTGACTAACCCCTTGTTCCTCCCATCCATCATCCAGCACTCGACGTGCCCCCCGTGCAGCTGAACAGCAGCAACTCTTACATGAGCCTGTGGCTGAATGCAAACACTCCTGCCCGCCCCGGTTCTGCTTCCCACGCTCCCGCTGCTGGTCTGTAAATCATTGCTGGGTGCCTGGGCTCGCGGTGGGTCCTCTCCCTGCAGAGGTGGTGATTTACACACCATGGGTTCAGTGCCAGCTGCGTGTTCATTGCATCGCGGGGGGTGGAAAATGGGCTCCTTTACTGCATCCGTAATGAGCTGTGGAGCTCCCTGAGCAATGTCCGCCCAGGCACTGCCCTCATGGGGCCGCACTGCCCTTGCCAGGTCCACGTTGCTGGTCGAGAGCTGCAAAACAAAGAGCACAAAGCAACTAACAGGTCCTGCAGGAGGAAGGCATTTAAAGCTGTGCATGGAGCTGCCTCTCTCCTTGTAGTCATCACCATGGACACTGTGGGAAATGCCTTCCCTGGGCAACCTGGGCTGGCAAGAGACCTGGAGAGAGGCTTTGGGCAAGGGCCTGTAGGAACAGGACAAGGGGAATGGCTTGAACCTGCCAGAGGGGAGGTTGAGATGAGCTCTGAGGCAGAAGCTCTTCCCTGGGAGGGTGCTGAGGCGCTGGCACAGGGTGCCCAGAGAAGCTGTGGCTGCCCCATCCCTGGCAGTGTTCAAGGCCAGGTTGGACACAGGGGCTTGGAGCAACCTGCTCTAGTGGAAGGTGTCCCTGCCCATGGCAGGAGGTTGGAATTGGAGGAGCTTTCAACCCAAACCAATCTGGGATTCCATGGTTCTATCCGCACCACCCTGTCTCTTTATATTGCTACCTCAAATAAACAGCATTTTAAGGGTCTGCCTGGACAATGCTGTGACCTGGGCAGCACTTAGAGGTGAGAATGGCCCCTCCACAGGGGACCATCATTTCTCTGCCCACCTCCATTGATCCGAGGCTCTGGCGCTTCCTGAGCCAGGAACAGTGTTTGGTGTGGAAAAGCCTTTAATGGGTTTGATCCCCGCTTCTCTGGATGTGTTCCCGCTCTGCTAGGCCCCCATGGATTTGTGCTGCTCACTCCAACAGAACGTTCCAAAGCTTAATCCTGATAAAACCTCCTGTAATTGGGCTTCA